GTCACAAAGTATTTTTTATTTATAGTACCCTTCAGTGATGCTGCAAAGCCTAAATAAATTTTTTAATACTTTTTAAATATTTGTTTTCTTAAAAAACAGTTTATTATAATCAATGAGTACCTACTTAATGTTTAAAAAAATCTTATATCTAATAATGCTTCTTATCTTATACAATTGTATTGTTAATAATTTTCTTTCTATTTATTTTATATGTAAAATTAATGTTAATTTTGTTCATATGGGTATTGCTGGTGTGGATTCGAAAGAAGTTTAAAGAAAATGTTGATGCTTAGACATATGAACAGGTAGTCAGGGATTAGAAACTTCCGCTAATAACCTTACATGATTCTTCTTCCTCTTTTTCTCTTGGCATCATAGCCCTAGATGGGTTTTTGCCTATTTGGCTATATCGTTCCATTCACACCTTTCTTGTGCCCTTCTCCTCCATTGTCTTATTTTCATAGTTTTCAGGTCGTCGTCCACATCATCCAACCATCTCGTTCTGGGTACTTATTCCTTTCTTTCGTTTTTCTGCCGGCTTCCATTTTAACATTTTCTTTGTTATTTTTATATCTTCTTTTCTCTGACTTTTTTATTATTTGTAAATTACAAATCGTATAATACCATACCCTTCATTAAATTCATTAATCTCATAGGTTCTTCTGATTATCCAAGGCCGTCCTCCTCGTTCACCGGACCTAATACTTTTTTCATTATCTTTCTCTCATATGTCTTGAGTTTATCTTAATATTTTTTTTTGTCATTAAGACCACATAACAACTTAATATAAATGGAGAAGCTGGTTGAAATATGTCAGAACAAAGGAACAATTACAACGTTGATGCTCTCAAACAAGAAAGTATAAGAAATACATTCGCTGAGAAACTGGCAATTGACCGAACTGTATCACAACAAACTATAGAATCAGTCTAAGAAACATGGAAGTATTTTAAAGAAGTAATGAAACAATCTGATTGAAAGGAAGAGAAAATAAAAAAAGGATAATTAAAGATACTCTACAACTGACAGAAGAAAGGAAAAAATCAGAAAAGAAATCCTACAAAAGGGAGGATCGGAATAAAAGAGGTCACTTGATAGAAAATACAAGGCAAAAACGCAAAAGTAAAAAAACAAGCCAGAAAATATAAAAGATAACAGAATAAAAAATAAGAAAAAAATATCACAAAGATGGAAGGAATAATTCGAGGAAATATATACTAAACATGAAATAGCATAAGTTATAGAAGATGAAGAAGAATCGCCAAAGCTAGAAGTGAATATTGGAGAAATTACAAAGGAAGAAATTGGAAATACACTAAAACATTTAAGGAATGGAAAAGCAGCAGGATTCGCCAATATACCCATAGACCTAATAAAAGCAGATATTTAGCAATCAATCGAGATGTTACATAAACTTTTGAACAAGCTATGGACTGAAGAAGAATTATCAAAGGAGTGAAAAGAGAGATTGACAATAAAAATACGTAAAAATGGAGAACTAAATAGATGCAATAATTGGTGTGCAATAACAATATTAAGAGCCGCATCCAAAGTATTGATCAAAATCATATTGGAAAGATTGAAGCCGAAACTAGATCAAAAACTGAGAAGTAACCAAGTAGGCTTCCGAGCCAATCGTGTAAATAAAGTCTAGATATGGAAAATCCTAAGATTATGTGGCATCTTAGTCTTCATATTTTATGAGATATCACCTCTGTACCTCCAGAAATCTATTTGTATTTGGTATATATCTTCTACTCCAAATACCGTTTTCATAGATGCCACGGAATATTCCTCTCAGAATTCTTCGTTCGATTATGAACAAGAGCTTTTCATTGTCTTCAGGTTTCAGTTTCATTGTCTTTCAGGTCGTTCATGTTTCCGAGTCACATGCCAGTACTAACAGTATATTGTTATTTTTATTTTCTGGTTTAAATTTGTAGTTTTCATGTGTGTACGAAGCCCAAAATAGCACTTGATTGTCAGAATTATTCCCCATTTGATTTCTACCGTTACGAAATTTTCGGTTTAACGGTATGAATTAAAATTAATTAAAAAACGATATGAAACTCTAATTACACCTAAAAAACAATAAATCTCCAGGAAGTGATGGTAAACCCGCGGAACTTATTAAATGTGGAGGTGCTTCTGTGACTAATCAAATATATAAAATAATACTGAGAGCCTGGAATGAGGAACAAATCCCGGAAGAGTGGTGTATTGGAATCGTTTGCCCGCTACACAAAAAGTGTGACCAATTGGAATGTAGAAACTATAGGGGAATAACCCTCCTTAATACACCATACAAAATATTTTCGAGGATCTTATATGGTCGCCTAAGTACATATTCAGAGGAACTTGTCGAGGAATATCAAAGTGGCTTTAGGCGTGGTCTAGCCAAATACTGGAAAAAACCAATGAATTCAATATCGATACATACCATCTTTTTGTAGACTTCAAATCTGCCTATGATAGTGTCCTAAGAAATAAATTGTAGAAAGCAATGAATGAATTCCACATCCCCGATAAACTGATAAGATTGCTTTAGGCTACAATGCGTAATGTGGTTTGCAAAGTCGAAATACAGGGCGAACAATCACAGGCGTTTGGAACGCATGTTGGGCTGCGACAGGGAGACGCGCTGGCTCCTTTTCAACATAGCACTGGAAAAAGCGATCAGAGATGCCCGAATAGACAACAAAGAAAATATTTTTAATAAATCATCCCAAATTTTGGCATTTGCAGATGATGTGGACCTAGTTGCCCGCACAACACGCGAGTTAGAAGAAATGTATACCACCTTCTCAAATGCCTCAAAATCTATGGGCCTGCAAGTAAATGAGGAGAAAACTAAGATGATGGCATCAACACCCAACAATAGAGTCAGGAACATCGATCCCCAATTCGCGGTTGATAACTCTACCTTTGAAATGGTTGACAAATTCACATACTTAGACTCCCTGATCACCAAAGAGAACGCCATAACGGAAAAAGTCAAGCGAAGGATAATAATGGCAAACAGATGCTATTTTGGACTGAGTAGACATATGAGAAGTAGAAACTTAAGCCAAAAAACAAAAATAACTACATACAAAACCCTTATACAGCCAGTGTTAACATATGGATCGGAGACATGGACCATCTCCAAGGCAGACGAAGACCTTTTGCTTATATTTGAACGAAGGAGACTGAGAGGAATATTTGGTGGTAAAGACGTAGTATCTCTTATAAAAATAGATATCCTACTTTTCTCAACGCCTTAGCTTAGAGGCATTGTTCCATACTGACTGTCATATTCAACTTTAACTTTATTTTTTTAATTCTAATTTTTTTTTAATTCTCTTACGACTCCAATAGGACATCTCCAGGAAATATTTTCAGACACACTTTTGATAAGTTTCTAGGTTTGTGCATACAATTATAAAAACACATAAGTATCGTTATATAGCATACCAGAGATAAAAGATATTTACTAATGTAAATTGTCTAAAATTAATTAAATTAAAGTAATAATTTAATTCTACCACCAACGACCGATTTCGCATACTATAATTTGCTATGCATCTTCAGGTCTTAAGGTACATGGTAAACTAAAATGATCCCGGTACAAGAATTATTATTTTATGATTTTGAAAACATTGTTCAAACTATCCTGGTTAGCTGGTGATGGGTGATCATCGGTTTTTTTTTGTAACTGTTTAACAATTATAGGGGAAGTTCTTGAGGGGAGAGATACTAACAAATAAACTAGGTAGTAGGTATTGTGTAATTGTTTGTTGAAATGAATGTGATGTGTTATATTATTTAAAAGTTATTTACATTTATTCAATGGGTAAATTTTGGAAATGTGTGTTAGTTCATTGAATTATTTGTTAAAAAACAGACACCTATATGATAATAAATGAAAGTAGGTATATAATTTGTAGGTGTGCAATAACTCCAATTTGTAATTATAAAATTATGATAAATTGGTTTGGTATCTATTAGGGCAGAAATGTGATGTTAAAATAGATTTAAATTAAAATTAAAAACACTTAGAGGCACTTAGGGACAAACAGAACACATTTATAAAGACACAACAGACATTTAATTTAAAAGGGGGTCACTTAATGGTACTACATCACTTCCAGGAGAGGATTCTTAAAAATCTATTAGACAACAAAAAACTAGCCTTTTTTGCCAGTTCCTCTCCTAGAAGTGATGTAGTACCATTAAGTGCCCCCCTTTTAAATTAAATATCTGTTGGGTCTTTTTGAATGTGTTTTATTTGTCCCTAAGTGTGTTTAAGTGTTTTTAATTGTCATTTATTTTGACATCACAACATTTCTGCCCTAATAGATACCAAATCAATTTATCATAATTTGATAATAACAAGTTAGAGTTATTGCACACCCACAGATTATACATCTACCTTTATTTATTATTATATAGCTGTCTGTTTTTTAACAAATAATTCAATAAATGAACACACATTTCCAACATATACCTATTGAATAAGTGTAAATAACTTTTAAATAATATAACACATCACATTCATTTCAACAAACAATTATACAATACCTACTTACTAGTTTATTTGTTAGTATCTCTCCCCTCAAGAACTTCCTTAAGACCTGAAGATACATAGCAAATTATAGTATGCGAAACCGGTCGTTGGTGGTAGAATTAAATAGATTGTGAGTGAGCCTTATTCTTATTTCTTTAAGATTTAATATCTGATAGTATAAGTAAACAATAAATATTAATCACTTAAATTTTTCTTTAAATTATGCATTTTAGCATCCACATTACCTCCTTGGAATTAAATTAGTATTTTTCCCTTACCAGATGTAGCTACCTCAAAATATACTTTAATATGAAAGAATAAATAAATCTACCAACAAAAGAAGTTAAAAATATTGACAAACAATTAGAATTCCTTAATTTTTTATAAATTATTGTAGTTTTGACGTAACTAATTAAACAAGAACAAGAACTAGTAAAAATACTGTGTATTTTACCTGTTTTGATGAAATAACGGCCATGTTTTTCAAATTTGCTAATAGTAAAAAGCGATAAAACACTAAAAATAGTCACTTTTTTTGATAACACTTAATAATCTACTGGGTCTCTTCAAACTGCCTAAACTGTCTTCGCACCAACGAAACGATTAGTTAAATAAAAAAGTCCGTTTATCTCCCAGTTGATTTTGAAATACTGCCGCCTATACTCCGGCTTGGATTTATATAGATATTGTTCAAAGCGTACTGGATGTTATCTTTTTTTTTTCAAAACACCAGCGAGTAGATCGTGTGATGCAACTGGAAATGGTAAAAGCTCGAGGACGTAGAATAGCAATCGTATTGGTATTGTTATTCGGGCTTGAGTTTATTTCGATGTGAAACAGTTTAATGTTGAAATATGATAATGGGGGATCACGACCTTTCCGATACATTATCCTTATCGTCGTTAAGGAGTATCTCGCACCGCAGGTCTTTGCTTTGCTATTACACTCAGTAGGAACAAGAAATGTCACACCATTTAATACTAATTTGGTTTTTATTAGCGTTTTTTTTAGTTAATCAGTTTTTGGAACTATTTGTAATTGTGTATTTAGCACTAGGCACGTATTGCTACATCCTTATGCCAGAATTAATACATACAGCTTCTATTCTACGTCATGTTTTGCTAATATTGATTTATCTTCATTGATAAACATTATTTCTCTTCTTCTTGTATTGAGACACAGTTTTTTTTTATTCTGTCATCCTAGCCGTTGTTATGTTGGTGCCTAGTTTTAATATACTTTTTGGGTGGTTTCCCTGTTTATCTTATCTTTTAAAGTTAATTGGTTATTTCTTCTTCTTCTTCTTCTTTTTATGTAGGCATAACTCTGTCTGTTTTTCTATCTACCTCCAGTAACTTGTCGTTCCATCATTTTTGTGATCTTCCTACTGGTCGTCTTCCTATTGGGGAACCGTCTCTTGCCGTCTTTACTACTGTATTTGTTATCATTCGGCTTATATGATCATTCCATTCTACACTTCCATTTCTTACCCAGTCTTTGATGTTCTCCACCTTGCATCTACGTTGTATATATGTACTTCTAGCTATTGCCCATAGTGTTTTACCATCAATTTATCTAAGTATTGTCATCTCTGCGGTTTCTAACATCCTTTTTGTCCTCTCTGACAGCTCGTGTTTCTGACGCGTATGTCATTATTGGTCTGATGAAGATTTTGTAAATTCATGCAATTTACATCGTAGTAAATTTACTGTTATAACCATGCATTTTGTTTTTTTTGGCAAAATTAACATGTTAAATTTTCTTTCGGTTATATTAAATTGGTACAGCAAACGTTGTAAATCATCTTCACTTCGAGAGAGTAGTATTGTGTCGTCTGTATAGCAGATTATTTTAAGTTTTTTTCTTCCATTCGGTATTGTTTTTTATCTCTTACTTTTTTATTATTTTATCCATAACCACATGGAATAATAGAGAACTCAGGGAATCTCCCTGTCTTATCCCATTGCCAGCTTCAATAGAGCCAGTTACTTTCTTCTTCTACTTTTACTTTTATTATGTTGCTTTGGAAGGTTTTCAATACACTTGCCTCATTATAAATACAGCGTCGGTGCATGATCTTCCCAACCTAAAACCTTGTTGTTCTTCTGCTAGTGTTATAATTTCATTCTGTTTATTTGTTATCATTTTGATTGTGAATTTTAGTGGCGTATTTAATAAATTATTTCCTCTGTAATTTTCCAGGTCCAATTTGTCTCTTTTTTGAAGAGAGGTGTTAGGATGCTTGATCTTCATTTTTGAGGTATTCTGTTTTGCTTTTGGTCACATCTGGTCCTCCGTACTTTAGGAGTTCTTTTGGCATTCTGTCCTCTCCTGACGATTGCTTGTTTTTTTAAATTTCCTTAATGATTCCTTTACCTCTTCCTCCTCAATATTTATTTCTTCGTTTGCCCTCACCTCTGGTGTTAATGGTTTCTGAATGTGTTTCGTTTTTATTAGTTCGTTCATCTCTTTTCGTTGTCCTCTGATCAATCTCCATGTTTCCTTGTGTGTTCCGTAAAAGTCGTGTTCTATTTGTTTTGATAAGTTCTGCCAGTGTTCTCTTTTTATTTGTCTAACTAAAGTATTCGTTTAATTTCTAATTTGTTTGTAATGGTTGTATGCCTGTTGTGTTTGTTGTGTTTTGTATTGTAAAAAGGCTTTCTTATTTTCTTCACATTTTGTCTTCACATCCTCTCTAAACAATGGAGTTTTCTTTTTTGATATGTTAGTGTTTATTACTTTCCTCTCTCCAAGTGATTCTGTTGCTGCGTTAATTGTGTTATTTTTGAGTTTTTCCTAGCTTTCCTCGATGTTATCGTTTTCTAATATTCTAATATTTTATTCCCAGCAATCTGTGATATTCTTTTTCTGTATAGGTATTCCGTATTTTCCGACTCTGATTTTTGTTTTGTTGGCGTCTCTCTCTTAGGTGTGAATTACTTCATGATGATTCTTATTTTACATAATACTAGGAAATGGTCGCTACCTACATATGCTCAGTTGAGGCCTCTTACGTCGATTATTTTTGATGGATGTATATCTCTGTTGATTATAATGTAATATATCATATATATATATATATATATATATATATATATATATATATAAAATGTTATTGTATGTATATTTACATTGGTCTTTGTGGTCAAAAATGTGTTGTTTATTATAAGTTCGTTATTCGTGCAAAAGTTTATACTCAGTTCTCCATTTTCATTTTTAACATTCTTGTTATGTGTTTGCTTAATTCTGGCTATTACTTGATTGCCTATTCGAGCATTAAAATTCCCCAATATAATCATCTTCCCACTGACTTGATCTACTACTTCTTGCATAAAACGTTTCCCATGTTGTTTGAGGCTTGATATTTTCTGGGCCGTATACTCCGATGATATTCAGGTCTTCCTTCTCCATTCTTATCTTTGCTGTTATACTCTTTCTGAAGTATATCGATACTTTTGGATGTGATTTTGGTACCTTTGGTGTATTAGTAAGGTCTCAGCTTCTTTTTTCTTGATTTCTTTTGCTACTTCACTGTAGATTAGAATGTGTTCACCTAATTTTGATTGTCCTTTTCCTTTCTTTTTTTTTATTTCCTGCAGAGCGCAAATATCTATTTGTTTCTCTTTCAGCACTTGGGTTATTTCTTGGTTCCTTGAGTAGAGCTACCTGATATTCTATGTAGTAATTCTCATTTGGGTTTTGGATATTTTTTGCTTGTCCTTATTTCTTGCTGTGGTCATCTACTAAAACTACGGGAAAGCGAATATCCTTAGTCTTTTACAGCATAAAATCACTGGCAGCGAAAAAAGAATAAAACATGAATTTACATATTTTTTAACTTCGTAAATAAATTAAATGATTTATTGATTTATTTTGAAATAACCCTGATAAAAACAACAACAAAATTCCTTAAAATACAGTAAAAAATAATTTAAGTATTAATCAAACAATAACATAACCTTAAAATATGAACCTTTATAGTAAATATCTTAATACTTGGATATTCTTACCTTACAAATTCACGAACAACAAATAATACCAATCAAAAGTCCTTATTTATTCTTCAAACAATTTAAAAAACCGTATTTCCAACTTCTTATGTAACAAATACAAACAAATTAGAAATGTTAGAAACCTCAGACTTAGGTAGTCCATTATGTGGATAAATTCGTGTCACCTCCAAATATGAAAATTGGCAGGACCCTGGTCTTCCTGGCCTTTCGGCATACGACCATAAGCGACTCCACTGCCCCTACGAGTCCGACACCAACTAAGGCGGCACGATGCCGAAACACCATAGGGCGTTACCTTACCCGTAGTACCTGTGTTGCGAGTACGTCTCCCGTCTGGAGATCCCCCTGCCTTCCCCCTACCCCCGAGGGCGGAAAGATAATGCAGGCGGAGGAATTCCACCTCGCACGTAGACAGGTTACCGCCGAGGAATCACTCCTCTACCACTCTTAAATCTTTCCAGGTAGGTTCGTGCCGGGACACCGACACCACCCTCGGTGGAGTAAGGCCGTGGGAGGTATTTACGGGCCCAGCTTGTTCAACCTCACCTGGCTCTTGTGGATTGAGAGTAGAGTGGTCCCACGAGATGCTCGTCTCGGATACTAGGAGTGTAGATCGGTGACCGAGATGACTATGCATCTCGAGTGCGTTTTTACAGACCCGACACCTCAAACGACGGCTCTCCACATCTCATTACCTACCCATAAGTAGCCTCTTACGACAGGCAGGGTCTTCTGGTCTCGGCCGTATTCTTATCTCCGATAGCTGAACGGAGTCATAGCGCTGACAATGCAGATGCAGACAAAGTGATCTCAACGCGGCGCAACTACGGTCACATACACATATAACTTGAAAATTATGCGCCCCGTTTTACGCGGCATTAGCACTCATATAACAGCTCCCGTAGGTGAAGGCAGTTCCGGATTTAAATACTGGTTGTGTCCTCGCCCCGGGTTTTGGTAATATTTAAAATAGCTCAACGAAATTAAAAGAATACTTTTAACATCAAGTAAATACTAGTTAATATTATTTACCGTTTTTATTTGGGATTACAGATTATAGACAAAGTTAAAAATGTAAAGGAAAAACACTTAAAGGCAAATAAATTAGTTAAGAAAAATCATGTATGACAAATGAGATCCTGAAGCTGATTGGTGAAAGAAGAAAAGCCAAATATGATCCAGATAGATATAAAGTGATAAATATAACAGTAAGAAGGAATATCAGTGAAACGAAGGAAATCGAAGCAATGGAAAAATGCGAAGGAATTGTGACTTAACAGTTAAAATACGATAGTCACAATACAAATAGGAAAAGTAAAGAACTCACGGATATACTAAGGCCAAGAAGAATAAATAAAGTATATTGGAGTCATCTACTAAAACTGTTCGTTAAGATAATCCAAGAGAATTTACTAGCTGTGTGAAAGTCAAATTTCCCCCAAACCAGTTCGGGTTCATAAATGCT